CATTACACTTGTGAACCTACAAACTTCTTCAACGGTCACCGCAACACTATACTTAGCAACTTAAAAACCCCAACGGTCACCGCAACAACATTACACTTGTGAACCTAAAAACTTCAACGGTCACCCAACATTACACTCGCAAACCTATTCAATATCGGGCTCCATACCAGTACTCTGTGTTTTTCTATTTACTTTTAGTAAGATTTTTACGCACTTGAAATACAATTAAGTTATAGAATCTATATATGTGTCGGATTGAAGATAAGAGATATTACAATAGAGTAACAAACACAAACAAAATAGAAAAAAGGATAGATAAGGAAGATAGATGTTTTGATAATATGAAAGAAGCAAACTACACCTGAGCACCCAGCAACCACCCACGCATGGAGGCTTGAGAAGTTCATGAAGTTCGATTTACTTGGCGAAATGCGTGTAAACACTTTTTTTGCTTGAGACTTATCACTCATGTGGATCTTAGGCTCTTCAATACAAATTACGAGTTTGCAAGCACCAGGGGCGTACCCTCGCATGACGAATCTACAATTGTTCTCAAGCCTTTGATCCACACTCCTCGGAAAGACGATCTTCTTGTCAGTGATACTCTAGTGATTCGATACCAGTATTCATACCTCTGTTGATGCATGTACTTCAACCCTGTCGGTGTTAGATAATATTGAAATACGTGTACTTATGCATTCTTTTTTTTTACGGGGGGTGTTGTCTTTGTTTCAGTTGTAAAAGTTTTTTGGGGCACTTGCAACACAATTAAGTCATATAAGTGCTGACGATGTTACAAGAGAGTAACAATTTTATTTAAAAGGAGGGAAGATAAGGATGATAGAAATTAAAAAAAGAAGGGGTAAACCACACAAGACCACCCTCCAACCACCCGCAGTCGTACATTTGGATGGACTGTAGGCTGTAACAATCTAGTGATGGAAATTGTATCCTGTGGATTGAGGCTGCATCAATTATAATACTTTATGTAGTTCCACCTTGTCTTTATTCACTGGAGACGATAAAATCCGTGTAAAATGAAGAAGATAAATAAAACGAATCTATAATGTCGGCGGCAGCATTGTTTCGGATATATTAGGACAGTAAATGAAATCGTAAAGGATGGCCTATAATTTTATTTTCCTTTTTTTTCTTTCCATTTTCAAGTGGGAGAAATTTTTCTACAAAATAGCAACCACAACAGTAACCAAAGCTCAGAACAGTTGCAAACTCTAATTTGTTTGAGTAAAGAGAAGCACATCGACTCAATAAAAGTCGCTGGAAAACAGTAAGACAGACAGACAGAAACAATAGATGGACAGTAAAGAAGTAAAACCTACCAGTGACGTTCTCCAACCACCCGTTCAAATCGAGTGTTGTGGTCATAAAGTTAGTATCGTTCTTTGTAAAACGGTGTGTGGTCGTTGTCAGACAGCAATACCAAGAATCGAAAACATCAAATACCGTTAGTATCGACAGCAAAATTATATCAAAGAAAAAGGTCGTTGTTCGTGATTGCATCTAGCCCTATAATAATTGTAATAAAAGTATGTAGGGTGGCCTTTTGTGTCTTCTCTCAGGTTTTGAATTAGAACAGGCTTTCTTTTCACTGCGGGGTTTAAAACAAATACAAATGAAAATTTAAAATAAACACCCCCCCCCAAAAAAAAAAGAAGCAACAAACAAACAGAGCATAACAACGCCAGTTTGACATTAATTAATTTGAAGGGAATGACGGAGTGATACAAAACTATAAAGAAAGGCAAATCCAGAAAAATGGAATGATGGAGTGAAATCGAATGGCATAAAACAGACAAACGGAATGGGATTGACAGAATAAGTACACCTGGACTGACTTCAAATGTCAAACAAAATTGACATGGAACATTCAACTTCAAGTTCTAAAATCTTAGATTGGATTTTAAAAATAAAAATGCGTGTATACTTCTCGTCGTGTGCGCGTCTTAGTATGTTCATTATTTTCATAGAAATGGAAGCAATCAAAAAGTCGGATCGGAAAAAAACTCTCTCATGGTAAAACAATAAATAGTTTTGAGAATGTGAATCCCTATACTAGTTTCTTCAGCACGATTGATCGCGTTGTTGACTGTTAAGGAAAGTAAAACGTTGCATAGAAGTTAATATGAGTCAAAATGTAAGAGGAGTTAAGCTTTAGTTATAGAAATTGCGTTGGCCAAGTGAATGCTGTTTAAGATAAATTGATAACTATTAAAAATATAAAAACATTTTTAAAAACACAAAAAATACATCAGCAACGATATCAACTTTAATTATTCGAAGGAGAAGAAGAAGAAGAAGACAAAGAAGAAGACAAAGAAGAAGAAGAAGAAGAAGAAGAAG